TCCAGCTTTATACAAGGTGCGAATGTTCCGTGTTCCAAATCTCATGTCCTTTTTCGTTCCGAGTCGTCTGGGTGGATGTGAGCCGGGTTTTGCATTTTGTTGAGGTTTCTTAACTTGAGCTTTTTTTATCCGGGGTGAGGTAGTTAGCCCCACGCCCAACCCCCAACCTGGAGGACCAGGGTGTTCCTCTTGGTCAGGTGTCTCCCCTCCGACCTGACCGGCTTGGGTGACCCTGCCAGTAGCTAAGCTACAGCCGGCATAGCTCTCGGGATCGACAACGATACATTTCTCAAGCAATCAAAATTGGCCTAACTCTTCCAGCTACTACTTGCACTATTGAGCGCACGTTTAGTACAATGCGATGCATCAAAACATGGAATCGGTCTATAATGTCTCACCAGAAATTAAGTAGTTTGTGCATCCTCAATGTGCATAAGAAAAGAATCAAAGATGACTCAGAATTCATTGAAAAAGTTTTAAACAGATTTGGACAGCTGACAAGACGATTACAATTATTGTTTGATTAGGCAATTTTTCAATTGTAATGTAGGAATAATTACTTAATTATTTGTTTTTGAATAAAAATATTTTTAATAAAAAAAATTTATAACAAAAATGTTTTTCTGTATCTCTTTAATTGTTTAAAAAAAAGCCAGGGGGGTGCAAGTGCACCTCCTTGCACCCCCCTGCCGGCGCCGTTGGACCACGTGTATTACACCACTGATTGTAGACACGTTGAACAGTCCGCATCGAAACACCAACAAATCCAGCAACTTCATTCACCGTATGACCATGGTCACATCCAAACACGATTGCCCCTGTTCGCCACTCTATCACATCCTTACACTTACCCATATTTATGCACAAGTTTCGCTTGAAACTAAAATATCTCACTGACGGCTACTTGCCTTTGATCACGTTGAGGCACTGCGCACGCAGTTGAACACGTCACTTGACCACTGCGTCCTCTAACGAAACCTAAGGATTCATTGGTGCTTGCGCACTAGGGGATTAATTTTTTTGTCCGGTGAGCAGACACAACCAGTTGATTTTAGCGGTTTTCTTCCCGTTTTGCAAATATTCAATAAAATCTAAAAAAATCATAAATATATAAATGACTAGTTACAGGTAAATGTAAAGGTTTACATATGTAAAGGTGTGCAATATGTGGACATTTAAAAATTGCATTACTGTATGTAAAAACTTATTATGGTGATACTATTACCACTTTACGAAGAAATGTATTGTAGAGGAATTACCAAGTGTAAAAAAAGAAGAGCTAGTTTTAGTTAGTTTCAGGTTTATATATACTATTTTTTTTTATTTTTCTTGCTATAGGTAAAAAGATATGATTTATTACATTAAAAAAAACGAGTTTATGTAAAAGAAAAACCTTAGAGTGATGTATTAATTCCTGTGGAATAAGCATAAACTATAAAATTATATGACTAGTAAAAACAGCTTAAGTCCTATATATTGTTTTTTTCACGCTATAAATTATGCAGCCTGCAATTATTTGAAATTGAATATATCGTTTTAAAAGTTTTGCTTTAGTTCTCCACCTCTAAAAAAATTAATTCGCCACAGCCTCAAATAGCTAGAGTCAGTATACTTTTATATTTTATATCAGATTTTTTATCAGACTTTTATATCAGATTTAGATATACTTTTAAGAAATCCATTTCTAATGATTGTTAGAATCACTATTGATTTAGCTTGTAAATCCAAGATTGAAATAGAAAAACAAACTATTATTTTAAATATGAAAATAAAATCTTTGGGAAAACCCAAAAGAATTGGCAACTATGGTGGAGTTGATTTTAACTCCAATTATACTATTATTGAGCCCAAAATTGATTAGTTAGAGCCTGTAACTTATCTTTATTCTTATAACTTAGATATAAGTGTCAATTCCTAACTCATGTATTTTCTTGACCCATTTTATTTAGGATTGTTAAATAATGTCTTTAGGTCACTCATTTCGAAGCATTCGGTACTACATTTATATCACGGTATTTATATCTGACTCAAATCATTACTTTTCTGTTATCACTAATCACAATGATTTATCTTTTTACAGGAATGAGTGCAGAAGTATACAGAGATTTTTCAACACTTTGTACAACTAGTACTGAAGTTGAAAGTGCTGATGTTCCCGCAAGCATCGAAGTAAGAAATTAATCACAATATTAATATATTGCAATGTTGTTAAAAGTGGCTTTGTGCAATTTTGGTACGTATGCAGATAAAACCATGCTTTACCATGCTTTTTTAATATTGGTTAAAATTTGAAGTATTGCAGTACCATGATTTTAGAACACAAAACATTCATATTTGTGTTCTTAATAATTTATAGTTAACAAGAATGGCTTGTTTTCATAAGAATGAAATGAATAAGTAACTAGTCTTTTTCATTTTCATAAGAGCCCATGAGATCGTTGTTCCATAATCTTATCGAGAACAGCAAATTTCGACAGAAAATTTTAGTCGGACGGGACATAAAGCGACCTTAGTCAGTTATTTAAAGTAAAGTGACATACTTCGTCTCTTGCTGTTTGTAGAAAAGCTCTTGCAAAACGTTTAGAAGCAATTAATTTTACAATTCTAGTAATTTGTAACATTGGTTCAATTATTGCCAGTTGGCTAAACTGCACCGCAAATTGCTAACGGTTATCTTTTTGAACAACACGGAAAAATATTGAATTAACGCTGAAAACATTTATCTAATTTTTTTAAAATAAAAGGTCGAATAAAGTAGGAATAGAATAAGAAAGAAAAAGATAGGAATCCATTTTTACACAAATCACTTAATAATTATAAAATTATTAGTTTATCACTATTACACCACATAGTAACGCCAAATTATGCGTCAAATTTAATAGTATACTTGTTTCAAGTATTTTCGTATTTTCTTACTTATATATTATTCATTAGTATTTTTATCTTTTTATTATATATATGTCTTGTGCTG